ATGGGGGCAGAGTTTCATATGAGTGGCCACGGCATTGCGTTGGCTGGGCAACAAATGAGGTGAAGCATATGTTACAGCAACTGGACATGATGATCGTCGACTTCGATGGATGCAGAGTGGGAGTTGTGGATGGTGATGGTCAACCGCATCTCAAGCGTTGGCGTGTTGCTACAACATGTGGCAGAACAGCTCGAGTTTTCTCCAAGCTCAGATGCCAACATGACTCCGGCTTCAAACACTCCATCATTGAAGGTTCCAAGACAAATCAAACTGGGTTTTACCCGAGGATCATGTGTGAATACATCGTGTACTCGTTATACCCTGACATCATATCCAAACATTGCCCAGCTATGCCAGTAGTCTTTCCTAGCAATCACCAAGAACACAGAGAACGAGAACCTGAGGAAGAGCCAGTTCCAACTCCAACCATTTTTCAGTCTGTGGATTCTTTTGCATGTCCCGCTGATATGTCTGATGGGGAAGCACCAGCAGATGACGAGGACGACAGAGTGAGAGAATCACGAGATGAACGGCTGAAGCGTGAAGCACAGAGTTTGGAACACATGACACTCCATGACCGCAAAAATCCGTTTTGTGAACATTGTTGTCGTGGAAGGATGCTCAGAAGATATGCCCATAGGTTCCGTGCTGATCCAGAGGACAGTGAGATGCCCTATGAGCGAGCTAAGGAATTTGGCAGCATCATCGAGGCAGACAACATCTTTCCAGCTGTGGAATCCAGAGGCTTGGGAGGAGAACTTTGTGCACTTGTTGTCAGGGATAGATACTCTGGAATTTGCCTTGCGTACCCACAAACCAGCAGAGACGAGGAGTCCAACTATGAGTCATTGAAACATTTTGCTGGGTACCCGCTTAGCGGACGCACTGATACTGTATTTTGTTCGGACACAGCCCAAGAGTTGACAAATGCAGCATCACGTCTATGTTGGGTTTTGGATCCAAGTGCGCCAAACTATTGGCCACACAATGCACACCTTGAGCGAGAAGTGAGGACGCTTAAGGAGTTGAGCAGGCCGTCACACATCCAAGCTGGTTTTCACAAAAGGCTCTGGACTTTGACAATCGATTATGTTTCAAAAGCAAGATCGTTTTTCTCACCTGCTCCGATTGCCAACCATGAAAAAGGCACTGAGGCGGAGGAGAACAAGATTGGAAAGACCAGATGGCATGTTGCCACAGGGAGTGAGTTTGGAGGACCTCGATATCCGCTTGGGGCTCTTGTGTACTATCGTGCGAAAGGAGACCTCGGTGAGCCAACAACAAAACCGGGACTGTTTGCAGGATGGCATTTGGCGCCTGGGCTCAGATTCCGTGGAAACCTTCTCATTGTTGACTATGAGTCAACCAGGACACGAGCTCACTTACATTGGATTCCCAAGGTTGTTCACCAGCGTGAGACGTTCTTGCCACCAATTGAACATGTTGAGTTTCCGCTCGCGCGTGCTGCGCGCACTGCACTTCTTGATATGACTGATGTTGAGATGGTGTTGAAACGTGATGAATATGACAAGTCGTTTGTTGAAGGTGTTCTTCCATATGATATCTGCATAGATGCATTTCCCATTGAAGACAGGCCGCCTCCACCAGGACATGCTTACATCACATCTCAACGTCTTGAAAAGCATGGAGTAACTGTTGGATGTTCAGGTTGTGAAAATGGACATTCGCGACACACAGCAGAATGCCGTGCGAGGTTTGACGGAATCTATGGACTTCGTAGTGGAGTACCCCCGACACCGTCAGTTGCACCACCAACACCAGCAGCACTTCCACCAACTCCGGCCGGTGAGCGTGCATCATCAAGTGGACATGCTTGTGACCCTCTTGACGATGACATTGTTCCGGAATGTCCGCCAGAAGAGCCTGCAGATGAAGTGTTCCCGGCGGCAGTGACCCGCCAACTTCCACGTGCTGAAGTCATAGCACGACCAGACGCTCTGAAGGCCATACGAAAAGAATTCGATGGTGTGGCCAGTATGGGAACCTGGGATTGGGCCTCCGTGGATGAGGAACACAACGTCAAGAAACGGGCCATCGAGAACCATGAAACAATCCATCTCGCTGACCTCTTAGCAATATGCTCCGAGAAGCACGTCGAATTGGAGCCAGCCTTCAGACAATTGAAAGGCAGAGTGTGTTACCGAGGAGATGCAGCGAAGACAGAGAGTGGAAACATCGCCTTGTACCAGACGCTTTCGGCATCGCCAGCATCAATTGTGGCCGCCAATGCCATAATCTGTTTTGGTTTGATGAGCGGATGCAAGGTGAGCACAGCAGACGCTGTAAAAGCGTATTTACAATCGGAACTGAAGTCACTGTGTGCAACTTGGGTCAGATTGCCTAGAGAGGTTTGGCCTGACGACTGGTTTTGGCCCAGTGGGGAGCCACGCTACCGCCGACCGGTAGTGCGGTTACACAAATCGCTTTACGGCCATCCAGAGGCCGGCTCCCATTGGGAGAAACACCTCAACAAGGAGCTTGTTGCCATGGGTGGAGTTCCAATTGATGAGTTTGCGTCGACATATGTCTTCCCATCATACAACAACTTGGCGCTCATTGTATACGTTGATGACTTTGTGCTTGCTGGAGATGCCACCATGCATGACACATTTTGGCAGGATCTTGGCAAGAGGGTCCTCATTGATGACATTGGGGATCTTGGTCGTTTTCTTGGCCGTCATCACACAACAATTGAGCGTGAGGGCAAGGAACTGTTCGCATTTGACATGAGAGCATATGCTCAAGATATCGTCACTGACTACCTCAGAATCACTGAAGGAAAACAGCTGAAGAAGGTCAACACTCCTTTCTTCGCCAATGGGGACATTGAGGAAGATGATTCCCGTGGGGAATTGGCAGACAAGGCCTCCAGCATCCTTATGAAGATGATGTGGTTGGCCAGGCTTGCAAGGCCAGATCTTCTGAGAGTGACCACTTGGCTTGCGACCAAGATCCAGAAGTGGTGTGCTGGTTGTGACGTAGCGTTGTTCCGAGCCATCTGCTACATAGATAGTACCAAGAATCACATGTTGACCGGTTATGTTGGTGATGGAATGGATGAAGTTTTCCTAGAGTATTTTGTTGATGCAGACCTATGTGGAAGTACAGAGGATTGCTACAGTACCTCAGGTGCATGGATCCAACTGTCCGGAAAGGACACGTCGTTTCCTTTGTGCTGGGTAAGCAAGAAACAGACAGCGGTGTCTAGAAGCACCACTGAGAGCGAGACCGTGGCTTTGGCAAACATTTTGTTTGATGAGGCGATACCCCTGGCAGAGCTTTTCAGCACGCTCTTGAAGCGGAATGTCTTACTGAGAATCAGAGAAGACAACGAAGCCTGCGCAAAAGTATGTGCAGCTGGATATTCTAAGAAGCTTAGGCATTTGAAGAGGGTGCATCGCATCAACCTAGCATCGCATCAACCTAGCATCGGTCAAGGAGCAATTAGACAGAGAAGATACAGAGCTCATGTTGGTAGGTACCAAGTATCAACGTGCAGACATATTCACAAAGGCCTTGTCTGGCCCTCTTTGGCAACCAGCCCTGAACATGCTCGGCATTCATGAGGAGTACAACATCATCAAAACCTCTCAAGCAGGGCTCAAGATTAGTCAAGACATGACTCTAGCACCACCTCAAACTGGCGCGGGACCTGCTGAGCATAAGATCGGCTACAAGAAGAAACAGCGGAGGAAGCCGTTACGGCAAGCCCCTTACTCTAAACCAGCCGAAGGTTGACTTCTTGTATGGCACTCTGATCTGTGATGATGACATGAGGGCACAGCCAAAACGTGAATAACTGTTTTGGTGTATAGAAAACCTCAAGGGGGGAGTTGAAAATACTCGCATGGTACAGTGTATATTTCTCATGTGAGCTTTCCTCTAGCACCCTTGATGTCATTTGCAATTGTAGACTTGTATCAGTTACTTGTCTTCCGGCAATAGGCTTAACTAGTTCAGAAGAACATGAGTTCAAACTCGCATAGTTTGTAGCCTTGCTGAACTTTGCTGAACATGCTGTTTGGCTCAAGAAAACACTCGGACAAAAAGGTTTCATTGCGTGTTCGCTTCCAACTGCATTGCTTTGTTGCCTTGATTCTGCATTGTGTTTGCATCCAACTGCACTTGCATTTGTCCATTTGTGATTTCAACTTGCATTGAACGCGCCTGTCGCGATATATCTTATTTATACTGGATTCAGGAATCAGGTGCGTTTCTCTGATCTTATCTATGTAATGTATGTAATGTATGTAATGTATGTATGTAATGTGTGTGTACTGTATGAACCTATGAATCTATGAATGTATGAATGCATGCATGCATGTATGTATCTTATGCGTTTTATGTGTCTTACGTGTCTTATGTATCTTATGTGTTTTATGCATCTAATGTATCTAGTCTAATGTATCTTATGTATCTACTCTAATGTATCTTATATACATGTATGTGTGTGTGCGCGTGTGTGCGTTTGTAGTTTTGTGTGATATGTATTTATATGTCGTGTTTTGTGAAACGTTGTGAAGGTGGTTGGCATTCATTCCATCATAGCATTGTGCCAGGTGCTGTGAGCTTTGCCACGTTTGACTTTGCACACGGCTCGCTGCAAGCTCTTGGCAAGGGCTAGAAAACAGTGACTGGAGCGCCTTTTGTTTGCACATTCTGCAGCAGAGAGATGCAGTTCACTGCAATGCATGTTAAATTGTGATAAATGCTGACCTCTTTCTCTTAGCATTGCAACTGCTGAGCAATTATAGAAAGGACGAGCAAGCAAGAAAACGTTGGGCGAACCTTACCCATTACTAGTACCACTCAGAGAGAACAGTGTGCAATTGGTTTAATCGACGGCATTCAATATAGCGGTGTGCAAACTGTTTGACTCGTTGACTTTCACTCCACGTGGCTATGTGATGTTCGTGGCAAAGACCAGCAGAAACCACAAGTTAAAATCATATCCTGATCATAATCCTTCAGAGAGAGTGGGCTAGTCTTGCAATGCTTGCGCCATGGCAGCATCACTTTGCTGGAAAGGCCTGATGCAAGATTGGGCAAAAACACGTGTTGTACAAGTGTTTTTTTCACTTCACCAACAAGCACACAGAGTCAACCCTTTCCAGTGTCAAACTATGTTTTAGCTGCTTCGATGTATTTCAATGTGTTGATAGCGTTCTGACCGGTAGAAATACATCTTGCAGGAACCGGATCATTTGCATGTAAACTGAGCCACCAGGCACTTGGCTGCCGGATGGAGTTCATCAAGCAGTTCTCGGCCCCTACGCAGAAATCAATGGAGAAGCAGGGTGATGCCATGTGAGAACATCCTCCCAGCCCTCCAGGAGATTCAGCTGAAACTGTTGCTGTTGGCACCCAGGTGCGATTTCATCCCCCTGGAAAGGGTTCTTCAGCTGAAAAGGCGACGGAAGAGGGTGAAACATTTGATGACAGTAGCGGTTTACAGGCTAGTGTCAAGACCATGAAAGGCACTCGGAGACCATAGATGCCGTTTGGATATCTTCCCGTTTCTGTTCATTATGCGTTTGGAAATAGAAGAGATCCACAGTTCTTTTTGTGGGCATCAGCTCAATTTCGTCTCAGGTGGCTGCCTTCAAAAACTATTTGCATCGAACTGTGGAGAAGGACAAGGAGACGATTGAAATGTGGGGATCTCTGTCATCTTCGTCATCTCTGACATTTGAATTATGCAACGGTGCTGTTTCGAATAGAATATACGCGTAACATCTCGTAACTACTAAAGATATCCAAAAATTCAACCGCAGGTCTCCTTGGGGAGCTGAAGCGGTTGGACATGCCTTGAAGGCACGAAGCAACATGGTTTCAACATGGTTTCAACAGGATCAGCAGCCGCTGTTTGATGAGATCGGATATTTCTGCTCCAATTTCCTGCATATTCCTGCATGTCTTGTGCTTTTGAATTGAAAGTACTGTAGTTGGAAGATTCCGGATGTTGTGCAGGCCTTGGCAACGGCTCCAAAGTCTGTCTCCTTCGAGGTGGTAAAAGCCATACCATCCTCAGATATCCTCAGTAGCAACATACACAGAGCCTGACAGGTGGAAAGAGTCTCCAAAGAAGAGTCAGCAAATGTCCACTTTAAGTCCCTTGGTGTCGCGCCATGGGAGGCCTGTAGGTTTGGGTACATGTGATTTGTGAATAGTGAGAAAGTCAGCACGTGTTGTGGACTTTGTCAGGAATATCTCGAGAGCAGACTCATGAACACGAGGCTTCTGGCAGTGACGAACGAGAGTCAGGCAGGGAAAAAGGAAGCAAATCGATGTGTTTGGAGAACCTTCCAAGCTACTAGAACAGAACTTGGACGTCGCTTACGTAACGGTTACAACTAGTTACAACATACATCGTAAGTTGCACGAAGCTTATGGAATGTCCAGTCAGCCAGGTGCTAAAGCTGGCGCGAGATGTGACCAACGCGTTGCAGGCAGGAAATCGCCTTGCAGACCTCTTTGATTAAACACCTGGAGTCCAAGTATCCTAAGCGTTGTCCAATGTCCACCCGTGTGCCCGGTGAAACCTGCCCCGAGTCTGAGTAAGTGGTGAATAGATTTGTGCCTCCAGGTACCCTGCCACAACCCCAACCCTTCTCCCAACCGAAGGTTATCCTCCTCATAAATCTCATAAGTGACTCATAAGCCTACGTCTCTGGTCGTCTCTGGTGCCCGACCCTAAATGGTGGTAGCGCGCTGCTCACGGTGTAAAGTTCAAACATTTCAACTCCCTAAGATCCGGTTTGATTTTGAGATCTGACAACATCCCCAATGTTGCTAGATGTTGCTACCATATTGGCAGAGGTAAATCTGCTTCCTGATAGATGAGCAATGTAAATCGGCGCCATGTTTAACGCCCTCACAATGAAGCAACTCTACTCAAGAACTTTGATGATTTAACAATGGATGCGGGCCCTCAGTGGCACATACTTTCTGCATCTTGGTGCAGAATGCTCCAGACAATGCAAAAGCTGTTCGTGTAGGGAGCTCAGATTGAACATAGATGGCCATGATGGCCATGATGGTTGCTACACAGAGCTGAGGCCTTTGCCCTGTGGGATGATGAAGCAGCAATTGATGTGAAGACCCTCAGTTGCCCCAGATATGATTCGGAAGAAACATGAAGACACCATCAGACGTTGCAATGAATAGTCATGACTGGTGCATGAATGTATGATCAGTGATGATCAGGTGCTTGTTGCGGGACTGGCGCCCCTCTCTTAGCATCGCAAGTGACATCTATTTTATCTTAATCAGAAGCCCCAATTAAGCCCCTCTCTAAGTCGGCTAAGTTTAAGCTGAGGGCAGTGCCATCCCTGTATCCCTTCAAGAAGCTCTCGTGTGTAGCGAATGTGATTCATCCCGTGGATGATCCTCGTGGCGTCTTGGTGATAAACAACGGCACGTCAGCGTTGATGTACATTTGTGGGCTGCAGATATAGGATGAGAGATGGACAGTTGTGCGGATACTCACAGATTTTGGCAGTGCTTGCACTACTTGTCTGATGAAAATTAGTATGAGCACCAAGCTCCCTGGATCAGTTTTGCCTATTCTTTCGCTTTGAAATGATTATCATGTATGCATGTGCTGATTTGTGTTTGACATCATCACTATCACTCTGCTGAACCTCCACCAGGCAGGCTTTTTGTGTATGCCACCTTCGGCGCTGCTGCTGCACCGCCAGCGCCCAAAATATTTGAGCTGCAGCAACTGGCCGTGGCCATGCCAAGCTCAGGCAACCGCTCACAGAAAAAGTATTTCAAGCTTATCCTCCTGGTGCTGACCCGGCCTGGGCACAGCTGATATCTTCTCACAAAACGCATCAAAACACCTCTCCAGCCTCCCAGGCTCCCTGCCTCCCTGGGCCTGTGGCAGGACCCTGCAAAGCTGAAGAAGTTCATAGCTGCAGTGGAGGAGCTGAGTCTGGGCCATCGCAATGACAAAGAAAAGTCACTGCACGTGAGAACTAGGTTCAGACTGAAGCAACAGGGAAAAGGCATTGTCTGAACAAAGGAAGTTTCATCGACTTAATTTGACCAATGGAAAGTGGCAGGACCGGATTCATCAGGGGGACCGCGTCCACATGGACGGCAACGGCCCAGATAGAATCATGAATGTGGTGCGTGCTCTATGTTACATCAAGGCCTGGTAACAATTCCGAAGTGCTACAAGCGGCCACCTTCTTTTAGCAAGTGGCGAGCCACGACGTCAGCAAAGTTTGAATAGATTGACAATATCTGAAAGAATTGAAAGGACCTGTGATTCTGCTAATGCGGATTCATGCGGATTCGTATAGCCGGTATAGCCCATTGGCTATAATTGCGTGTCTTAATCACTGCTTGTGAAGGGCTTTACTGCTGAATTTCGAGTGGAATGGTGGAAAAATACCACAGGCTGGCAACTGGGCCATCTTGATGTAGGGTGGTGGAATGCGTATCAGAAAGACAGCCTGACATATAAATAAGTGACGGCAGTTGGCAGTTCAAAAGGCTATTTCAGGGGATGATTGAAATGTTGACCTGCGACTGTTTAAGTTCCGCCTGCATGAGTGGCTTGCAGGATGGAGAGTGCTGCGCAAAAGGTTTGAAGGTGTGCATTGCATTGAGCGTTCTGGTGTCAACCCTGGCAAGGAAACAAGCAAGGAAAAGTCCTTCGTTTCAAGGACTGCCCGGCATGCAGGGTCTAAGTATTCTTGTTGCGGCTGCTGGCTGATGCCAACTGCACATTGCAATAAGGCAAGACGTGGGCAGTCGTGGGATGAGTTCAATGCAATTGACTTTACTGAAACAAGCAGCAAGCTCAACTCCCAAACCAAAGCCTTCTTGAAGCAAGCTGCAGTTGCACTGAGGTTTGCTAAAAGCAACTTCAAAAACTCCAGCCCCTTGGCCGCGGAATGCTAGTAGATGTTGCTAGATTTGAGGACATCAATGAAATTAAGAGAGTTGATGCAGTCCAGATGCATCGTAAAGTCTGGACATGTCCATATCGCCACATATCGCCTCAAGCTCATACTGACTTTTGCATCTTTTATTTTGTCTCGGGTTGTCAGGTTGATAAATTGAGCTACGCAGCCCTTGCAGAGGTTAAGCGCCACCAGGTGCCTGCTGGGATTGTTTTTGTGGTTTGCCTGTGATCCAACAGAGTTGAGCAGCATCAAAAGCCTCCATGAAGAAAAGTTGTATGGGGATGAAACCACGTCCGCGGAAGCATGCAGAAGAGCTTGTTGAAGAGTAGTTTACGATCATGGAAGGGCCGCGGAAGACGAACACTCCACACAAAGACAGCCATGTTCCAAGCATTGTTCAGTCAACTTCGAAGTCATCAGAGCTTCTTTTTGCGGAAGCTCCGCGGAAGAGAAATCAACTCACCCACCATCCGCGGAAGTCAAAACTGTGGTCGCGGAAGGCATCTAGGATTAGAAGAGATTGGCACCGGGGTTGTTGCCACGGCTCAGTCGGACAAACAGATTTCAACTGATTTCAATTGATTTCATGGCACTGAAGACTGCATTTCCGGTGGGAGGCGGTTGCCGTCCATTGCTTTTCGGATGACAAGGCATTTTGGATGTGAATTATGCCGGCATTGAGGGCAGCAAGTAGGAGAGTAGGAGTGCAGAGCAGCAGAGCAGCAGAGCAAGTCAATAGTTGGGTTTGGTGCTGCGACCAGGAAGCTGTGGCAGTAGCGATCAAGGACCTGACGAACTGCACATGCTTGTCAAAAAAGACGCATCAATTCTTATCATGTCTAAGCATATCTGAGGTATCATACTGCATCTACTGGATTCTCACCGAATAATCCTCGTCATATGCCCCTCATCCCTTCAGATCCCTTCTTTGCGCGCAGGCTCTGGCAGCAGTGCCCCGGGTGACCGATGGCTCGAAGCTCTATTGCGTGGCAGACTCAGATTCAGTTTTCTTTGGCCTTGGTTCAACCTTGGTCACTTCCTCAGCAAACTGCTTTGACAGGTGCCAAGCTTTGGCCGCGCTGGACCTGATCGCAAGCCAGTCCTGCGGCTGTATCTGCGGCGCCACTCTTCAGCACTGGAAATGTCAGCTGCTGACGATTTAAGTTCTGGTACTTGCCTTGAACTTGGCATGGCCTCTTGAGTCAATTTGAGGTTATGGCCAGGAAGCGAGCGAGAGCAAAGCGGAGAGTCTGTAGCGGAAACAAAGAAGCCTTTTCTGGTCAGACAGGGCCGCGAACACATCCGAGCAAACCTTTGTGTTCTAGATTCTTTCAGGAAGTAACACGGAAAGTGGTGATGATCGGTGATGAACATGTTGTTTCTAAGTTTAACCTGTTGCTTAGGAATTCGGGAGCATCCATTCTGCAACCTCCACATACATTCCCGCATGGCACAGGCATCGCAGCTAGCAGTTTATTCGTATAGGAGTGACAATGTATTTAGCAACCTCAAGACATTGCTGTCCCCACCATATTTTTTGGTTTCATCTTAAGAAGCCATCCTGCACCTAACTGCGGTGGTTTAAGCGTGTGTGTCTAATTTAATTTTGATTGGCCCTACACAGTGAACGATATCAGAAACCTTTTTATGTAGATATACTATATATACTTTTAGTGTACCCGTCGGATAGAACCATAGAAAGAACCCGCTAAGAAGAATCTGTCATGGAACGATGGAGGGAAGCAGTCCGCTCAGAGATGTTTTTTGTTGACCCTGCCATTGAAAGATGGCAGAATCCTTCTGCTCTGAGATGATTCTGGTTGATCCCTTTCAATGCTCGCAGCAAAACTGCAATTGTGTAAATGATTCCTGGCAAGCCTCTAGTCACATGAATTCTGTCAAAAAAACAGGTTTGCGTTTTTGCAGGCTTTTGAGACATTGCTGTCCGCACCACTGTTTCAGTATAGATCTTAAGAAGCCGTCCTGCACCAAACCGCGGCTGTTGAAGCGCTTTTTCTTTCGATTTTGATTGGCCCTGAGCAATGAACGATAATAGAAACCGTCTGTGTAGATATCCTTTTCGTGGACGCGGCTGATGGAACAATAACAAAAAACTTCTACCCAGGATATGCTGTCAATTGACTCTGTGCATGGAGCGACCGACGGAAACCTTCCACTCAGAAATGTTTTTTTGTTGACCCTGCCATTGAGCAATAAATAGCAGAAACCTTCTGCATTGAAATGGGGTTGGATGATCCTTTTAGTTGAATGCCCGCGCTCTCAGCAAAACCACAATTGTGAAAATCATTCTTGGCTAGCCGGTAGTCATGTGGAGCCAGCCAGACACTGTTTCTGGGCCGCGGCCCCGAACGATAACCGAACAATAACCAAAAATCCAATTCTAGGGCTAGGCAAAGCAGAGACCGGTTTCAAGATGAATGTTGTGAATGGACATTCCACATAGAATGTGGCAGTAATGCGTGGATGTGAAAGCCACATTGAGTAATCCTGAGATGCTTTTCACGCTGTAACTGTAACTTCCACACGCAGGTGCAAGAACAAAGTGCCTGTGAGATGCTTTCCACCTTCATTCAAGCTGCTGCAAGAAAGTGCCAAACCAGACTGCCTGCGAGGTGTTTGCCACAGTTTGGCCACAGCGGAGTGCAAAGACATACCAAAAAGATACCATCAGTGAGACGTGCTCGCCCCATGAGCTCGCAGCACTCACAGCCCCTGGGAGCCTCCACAGCGCAAGTGCAACGCAAGGGTGCAAAAGACAGATGCCAGAAACATTGACAAACTGCAGCACAAAACTCTAAAATAAGTATGCCCCAATGCCGCCACTCTTCCGAAGATGATGAATATGTCCATTGCATTTTCAGATATTCCGCATCTATTTCTGAACCTCAAGATTCTTTTTTGGCTTCAATCCAACATCGAACACGACCGATAAACCCAGTTAAAATATGTTACTGTAGTTAAAGTTAAATAAAGTTAAAACATGTTAAAACCATATTGATTTCCAAAAAGCCGTCCCGCATCAGAATGATATGATCCGAATATAATATTAATGTTTTTATAAATATAGATGTTTGATATTAATCATCCATTTATTCATAAGGAAATGATCGAAAGATATATTTTGTTTAATTGTTTTTAAAGTATTGTTTTTCTTTTTCCTATATATTTTTTCTCGACCTTTTAGGCTTCCCCCATGGCACCGAAATAATTTGATTATTTGGGAATTTGGAAAAACGGAAAATTTTAAAATAAAAATATATTTTTAGGATTTTAATTTTGCGGCAGAAATAATTGAAAGAGCGAGAATATGGTCCGTTGATGTTGCTTTATTAAGGGATATTTTACCGTTATTCGAGGCCTAATACCCTTATCTAGCTAAGGGTGGGAAATTTATTTTGACTAATATTTACGAATAATTAATTAATTTTGAAATTATATATATATATTATATTTATATGAATCTATTTCGAATTTAAAATAATTATAAAAATATAAAATAGATTTTGATATTTTTTTTTGGAAAATAAGAAAATATTTATTTTTTAATAAAAAATAATAAATATATATTTAATTTTGAAAATATAAATATTATTTATGATATGTTTATTTAAAATAATAATTATAGAATTATATAAAATTATTTTTTATCGTATTAGGTTTTTTTTTCTTGGGGGTTTAGTATATTTTTTAAAAAATACTATTTGCTAAAAATTTAGCAAATAGTAACTGAGAATTTTGGGACATAATAACTAATTTTATACAAATTGAAATATGGTGGGAGCAGGAATAAAATATCTTATTAAAAAAGGCCCAGATGTTTTTTTTTGAAAGTTCCCTGACGTATAGTGACAGGAAATTAATTTCTGTTTGTTGTAATTGAGGGGGGGGTTGATTTATTAGTCTGTATATATAAGATAAGATATTAGGAAATTAATTATGAATAATTTTGGTAATGGATAAATTTGTAAAATTTTTAAGGTTAGTAATTAGGAATTTTAAGATGGATATAATAAATTAAATGGAAATTTATTAAAATATATTTAAATATTAAATCCCAGGAAAAAAATATACTATAATTAATTAAGGGAATATTTTTTTTTATATAATTTTACAAAAAATTATAAACATATATGTTTATCGTTACTAACCAAAAAAGTGACTTTAAGAGACTAAGGTATAGGGATTAAAAATAAAATCTAAGGGGTTGGACCTTTTTTGGCCAAATTACAAAACACTTTTTTTTTTTGAAAATACATTTATCCTTATAAAAAAGGTACAAACATATATGTTCAGCTTCACCAACCAAAAAAGGTGACTTTAAGAGGCCGAGGCGTAGGTGTCAAAAATAAAATTTAAGGGGCTGGATCTTTTTTTGGCCGAATTTTTGTGGATAATCGTCAAAGTCTGGCCCCACAGGAAAAAAATTACATCACCAGGTCAACCATCCATAGATAGGAAATAATAATACAAATTGAAGAATTTCGTTCCAATGTGTGGCTAAATTGTAAAACAGGTGTTTTTTCTTGAAGATACATTTGTCCATACAAAAGGGTTGCGTATTGCAGTGGGCATCTACCGGACCGCACTCGTGAAGCCGTGGACTCTGAAAAACTGCGAGCTGTAAGCCGGGAAGTCAGGTGCCAGGAGTTCATATTTTTCCGTATTAGATTGAGGGGGGAAAGATATGGCATCTTACCAACGCAA